TAACACATTCTTCAGTCACTACCTATGCTTCATGTAGATTGCCTGTACCCTTCAGTGTCATACTGTGCAGCTTGTTGGAAAACAAAGAGTTCCCAGGTGTGGGACAAGCAAGAGTGAAATGTTTAGTATTTGGACTTCACTCTAAGGAGAAAACTACAACTGCCCCATAAAGTGATCTGATGGGAGCAAACACTCTAGGGAAAGGAAACATTTTTTATATTGCAGTAAACTTTCCTTGATGTGAGCATTTCTCTCTGAAGCTTGCTTTTTGCTTCCATTGAAGAAAGACCTAGAAATCCCCCCTCACTGTTCCGCAGTCTTATGGAAGCCGCAAGGTATTCTACGTTGCTACAGAACTTCTTCTAATACTGGATAGTGTCTATGCAAAATAAAATTGCTGCTTATATTGATTTGCCATATTAATTCAAAGGAGCTCTTTGTACATGTGCACAAAGGAAAGAGCCTCAAAACTGAGTGAATAAGCACTGCAAAAGTATAAAGTTTACAGAAGAGATCATGGTTCTGGAGTCCAGAATGCTGCAGGCACCAACCATTGATGGGGCTTCACGGTATATCTGGGCCTTAATCCTGAGTCTGGGGCCTTTGATGTTTATCTAGCCAGAGTTCTGCTAGGCTAGGGACAGACATTCAAAAAGCCTGAGCCTGAATTGATTCAGTCTTTGCAGGTTAGTCTAACCTGGCTGGGATGCTAGAGCAGCCCTCCCTCCCCTTCTATAATGCTGAGCTAAGGGGGTGTGGCCAGGCCTCCCTGCCAGGATACTCTGATTAGGGAGGGGTTCTCCCCCTTGATAACAGAGTACTTATCAGCTCTGTTATCAGCATTTATCATCCCATCAGAAAACAAAGCCTCTCTCTGTTAGTCCAGGCTCTTTTTAAACAGCTTTTCCAAAGAAGGAATGGAGGGACATTACCAGCTGACCTGTTGATTAGCTCCCAAAAGCCCTAAGCAGAAACAGTCCTGTCTGCCTTTGTCCTGTCTGCCACAGCATGGACCGTAGCCAACATGTGGTCTGCTAGCTAACGCTGAGAGGTGTCTGTGTAAGGCAGAGAGGAGAGGAGAATCCCTGCTTAGCAGGGAGTGGTGATGGGAGTAGGGGGAAGCCAGGCAGACCCCACTGTACCTGCAGTCTCTGCCAGAGCTGCAGCCAAGGAGCACAGGGGAGGGGCCAGCTCTGCTGTGGAGCAGAGAGCCCCGCCCAGTCCAGAGAGTATGCTGGGATGCCAGGGGAGTCTGGTTTAACTTAAACAAGGAAGGGACCTGGGACAGACATTGCATAAACTGGTTTGACCCAAATCAGTTAAGTCTGATACTACATTCAGCCAGGTTTACCTCAAACCAGTTTCAGCCATTTTCAAACTGGTTTATGTGCATTGAACATCTGTTCTGTTACAGGTTTAAACCAGTTTCTGATCACTTAAACCGATTTACGTGTAATGTCTGTCGCTAACCCTAAAGAGCTCTGGGGAGCCAGAAATGGAAACATAAGTTCACAGAAAGTTTTCTCTTTAGGTGTTGGCTATAGTCAAGGTTGAGGATTTTGACTGCCATGTGTCCTTATTCCTGCTGGGATATCCAGGGATCCTAGTTAGGTCTCGCTCCTTTGTTCCAAGTAAGAGCAATCACCATATTTGGGATCGGAAAGAAATTTTACCCTGTGGTCAGACTGGCATGGACTGTGGGGAGATTGTAGGTGGGGTGTGGTCCTCTTCCTTGGGTCTCTTAAGGGTATTTTAACAAAGTACTTCTGGTCTTTAGAGTGGCATAACACTGACTTGCCTATGGCAATTTAGGGTGTTTTTGACGTTTTCAGGCATTGTGCCTGTAGTTGTGCCAGAGGGTTGTTCAGGCAGTTTTAGGAATAGATTAGACAAACATTTGTCTAAGATGGTTTAGTGAGGGATGATCTTGAGCAGGGGTTAGACTGTATGACTTCCTGATATCTATTTTTCTATTATTCTGTTTGGATTTGCATTTCTTACCTATTGATTGTACTTTTTGACCATTGGCCTTGTTGTTAGTCAGCTGCTTTGAACATTTCCCACGTTGCACAAGGCACAGTGCACAACCACAGTGGGGAAACAGAGCAGGTAGGGGTGGCATAGCGATGATGCCAGGTTGTCTAGACCAGGGGTGCTCAACCTCTCACCTGCAGACCACATGCAGCCTGCAGAGCCTTGGAATCTGACCTGCAGGGTTTCCCATGGGTTGGGAAATTTGGCAGCAGGGGGGTAGCGGCAGTTAATACTGCTACCCCTCCCCACTGCCAAAATCTCAAGCCCCAGGTGGTGGGTCACAGCCAGGCTGTGACTCTCCCTGCATGGCTAGATTGGGGCTGGGCCATGCCCCCTTCCTCCTATAGGGTCGGGCCACACTCCCCTCACCCCTCTTTGGGGCTGGATTGGGGCTGGGTGATGCCCTCTTCCCTCCCCCCTGCAGGGCCAGGTTGGGGCCAGATTAAGGCCCCTTGCCTGCGTGGCTGGATTGAGGCCAGGTTGCCCCCCTGCTTTCCTCCATATGGCTGGATGGGGCCCACTACATCTACCCCAGGTGCCAGTTTGGATTCACCAGCCAGATATGGCCTATGGGGGAATCAGGCACTGCCCATCCAGCCCACTGGATGAAAAGGTTGAGCACTACCTAGACATGTTTGGACCCACTGGAAGGGTGAATAAGAAAATTCAAGAAGTGACTGGAGGCTTCCTGGACGAGTGCTAGTTTTTAAAGATTTTCATGTGAAAATAGGAGATGTATTCTTCTGATTAGAGGGGTGGGGCTCAGAGAAGGGTTCTTCATACAGAGCTAGGCAAATATTTTAAGAAAGTTAGATGGTGGAAGGCAGTGCAACTCAAAGTGCATTAGTGCTGAAATCTCAAAGCCACATCTGCTCTGACTGCTTGGAGAAGAGTTCCCTGTGTATTGGTCTAAGGGCCAGTTTCTGAGCAGCAAAAATGCTATGCTGAAACTAAAACAATGTCCCTGTGTCACTTGCTCAGTCTCTGTTCTGTTACTGGATGACAGGACTAATGAGCACTCCCAAAGGTGGCCTGGTGTTTTTGCTGTGGAAGGAAAAGCTGGACTGGGAACCTTGTTCCATGAATTACCTTAACCACAAGCCTATCTGAGATGAAGGCAGCCTGTCTGAGTGACAGGCTTGGTGACATTGCTACAACAGAAGAAAAGTGAGCACCAATAGCCCAAAGAAGGGTAGAGTTATATCTACAATTAGAAAGTCAGAATAAATTGTTCCTCCTCTGATAGCTCAAGGCAGGAGGCTGGGGGGAGGGCAGGTGCTGATTAAAGCCCTTCCTGAAAGACAAGGAAAAGCAGGAGAGGAAAATCCCTCATTGGCTGTTTTGTGGAACTGAAGAGACTAGCAATTTGCAGGGTGCATGCTTGTGACTCATTTCTGTGCTAAGGAAGTACTTGCTTGTGGCATTATGGACACCATTAATATTAATGTATGTGGCTGGAATAGCCTTCCTAGGGTACACCCACAAAACTTGCTGTGTCAGCTATACTCATTAAGTGGTGCAGCATAGTTCTTGTTCCTTTACTGTACCTGTTCTACTCGGTTCTGTTGTTCATTGTTTTTCTTGCAGTGATGCTTAGGCAGCCCAGTCATGGACAAGGGCTTGACTGTGATAGGTGCTAAAAGACACAGAACAGGGGGACAGTTCCTGCTTTAAGGAGCTCACAGTCTGAGTTAAGAACAAAAACAACAGGTGGCCATGGGACTGGAAAGGGCCACCAGGAAACAGTGAGATGATGCAGTTCAGCCTGATTGCCAGGGACACTGGCTGACTCAACACTGTCACTCTTTTAATTGAACTTTTCTTTGCTATGATGCCTAAGATTGAAGTCCACGCTGCCAGGCTATTTGCAGCTAGTGGCTTCAAAAAATATTTGCATTTAATATAGTCAGAACTCACTCAGTAACCACAGCACTGGCCTTGTTGTGGCCCTGCCAACAACCAAATCTAGAGCAAGGGGAACATGTAACCAACTCATCACATGATGGACAAAAGCCCCTATTTGTATTTGTGAAACCAGTTTGGCTTGGGCCCACTCACTTTCAGCTGTCCACGTGGTAGGATATGCATGCTGCCTTATTCTTTTGACTGTTCTGTATGCCCGCTGGGCATTTTCCCAGGATGCACAGCTACAAACATGGTAGCTCTTTGTCTAGACATGTGGGAGTTTGCCATTTCCCATTCCTTAAGTGACTGCTTTCAGTTATGTGGAATTAAACACAAGCCTTTTTTCTGTCATTTAGCTTAGCCTGTGTCTGCTTCTTCCCCCAGCCCAAAGAAGGATACTTCCTTCCTGAAAGCTTCTCAGACTTCTCTCCCCACTATACTATATATCAAAAAATCCTTGCCTCTCATACATTTCCTGGACCAATATGGCAATAACAACATTTCAACTCTTTCTCTTGTGAAATGTTCCTCCTCCCTTTTGTGGCTGACCAACTGCAGCCTCTTCTACTAGTGCCAAGCTGTCTGTTTTATCTGAAGTAATTGCAGAGGCTACTTCTGTACAAAGACATGTCTGATTCCTACTTCTCTCAGTACCTTGATATACCGGTATTATTTCTAACTTGGGTTTATCAATCGGTAGCTATTCTTGCTATAATGAATGTACCCACCTTTCTGTATCTTGTGTATATGAGGAAATAATGAACCCTAGTTAGTGAATATAACATGTAGTTGTCATCTTGACTTCCAAGAAAAGAGGGAAAGAAACTGATAGTCTGTTAATGGGTGAATCTGTGGGGGAGGGAAGAATTGCATCAAAGTGTTTTTAATCCCTGAGGGAAACCAGCCCTGGTCTCTAAAATGCCTCCTGGCAGAAAGTTCAGATCTTACATGCATAGACTCATTTCTGCCTTACTGTTTAATTACAGCATAAGAAGTGCCAAATCTAATTCTCTTCTCCCTCTCTTTCCATACTTCCTCCACCCATCCACCCACCCATACAGCTCAGGTTCCAGACAGCGATGAGCAATTTGTGCCTGACTTTCATTCAGAAAACTGTAAGTACTGTTATAGGACTGCATGTGTGGAGGGAGGAGGGGCAGGATATGCTTAAGCCAAACAAATATGTGAATGAGCTGCATGGAGATTAAAGCTAAAGTATTAGTTCCCCTCCTACACCACTGGAAGCAGAGCAATAGTGATGAAACTCAGCCACCGACCATCCCCTTCTAGCAGACAGGGAGATGGTCTCTAGCACAGGAGATGGCCTCTAGCACATCCCTTAAGATTGAGGTTCCTGGGGCTGTTCATATTAGAGGCATTGGGGGCGGGGAGGCGGGTAATTGGGCATGCCAAGCCAGTTAAAACCTGACACTGGCACAGCAGACAAAGCAAAGCTTTCCCCTCTAATTTGTAGACTAAAAGAGGCTGGCTTAGATGGCATACAGAGGAAAAGTCCACTCTAAATCAGCATATAGATGCTGGCTTAGATGGCATATAGTTTCAGGGAGAGGAAGGAAAAGTAGGTAGTAAGTGAAGGTGGAATCCACCTTTAGTCAACTTGTGGTGACACAGGCTTTCCAGGGGAGGCATAGAGCAATATTTGGAGGGGCTTGCTGGATTCTCATCAGCATTACTCCTGTAACTGGGAGCCACCTAACCTTCAGCCCTCTGAGATGCACCCCCTCTGAGATGCCCCATGCAGCTGCCTCTCCTATCCTTTTCAGGTAATAGCTGAAGCAGGGATGGTCCAGGCCATGGGACAGAAATTCATACAGACTGTTCCAAGGAGGCCTGTTGCAGCCTGGCTGCAAGTACCCAAAGCCTGAGATTCACCAGCATGTCGGCCAGCTCAGAACAGAGAGAAATGAATGTTTAAAGCTGTTCCAGAGTCAGCTGCATTCCTGCGATGCTGCTTCTCTCTCTCCCTTGCTTGGGCAGACTGGGATGCTTCCCACTCCCTGTTTGTTTATGCTCAAGAAAATAAAAGTGAAGCATGTTTTCTTAGTGCTGCCCACTTGCCTGCCTCCTTTCTGGTGACTTGTTGAGCTCTGCAGCATTGGCCAGGCAAGCTCCCTGGGTCATATGACTTGTTTCTTCCTCCAGTGACCCTGAGCTGAGGAGAGGCCAGTCCCATGTTTCATGCTGAATGAATGAGCCAGTTGTAATGTGATAGCCTGTTCCAGCTATTAGGGGCCAGAAAGGGTTGGCCGCTCCTAGCACACTTTGCTTCTGGAGGCTCAATGGAGTTCAGTGTCCTGGACAGAGCTGATTTTTTTCCTCCTCTGTAGACACATTAGCATTTTTGTTACTTGGTCTAATAAATGTAGTGTTGCAAGCGGAAGGGCAAGGGATGTTTCAGCATTGCAGGAGGGTACTTCTCCCTTGCCACTGCTCCTGAAACCGGCAGTGTTTGCACAGACACAGAAGTGTCGTTTTAGATGCTATTAGATTAATCAAGTCTGCTCTGCATGTGAGCTGAGGCGAACTGCGCTGCGCCACGTGCAGTTGTATAAGTGCTGAAGTGCACATCAGCGCACAGAAAATAGCAGCAGTACGCTTTTGATCTAAAGCACGTCCGAGGTGTTTTAGTTCAAAAGCGCACCACCACCATTTTCTCAATGCTGACGCACATTTTGCTGCTTATGTAACTGCATACGTCACAGCACGCGGTGCTTTTCAAAGTGCCTGGCGCTGCGGCACTTACATGTATAAAAATGCCTAAGGTGACCAACAGGAGATGGGTGTCAGGCTCACTTCTGCTCCCTATTTGGGTTGGGTCCAGCTCTGTTTATAAGCATGCCACTCCACTGTGATTAATGGTAGCATCAAGATGCACTCTAGGAAATAGGCCTCCACAGTAAGGACCAGGACCAAAATCCACTAAGAACCACCATATAATTGTGGGCATATTTATCTGCACTGATTTCTGACTGGCAGTCTGGATTTCATTGGGGTTTGGAGCAATATTAGGAATAAGTATGAGCTTTTCTAACCTGGACTGAAATCAGAGGTAGTTGTGAGGGCTGATGTTTCTTTAGCTGGGCTCTGAATTCTCCCACTTTCTTGCAGAAGAAAAGTTTTATTGGGTGGTGGCTGGGTATAGACTAGTCCCGAGTGTGCTGGGACAATAAGTCCCCTCCTCCAATCCTGGAATTTGATGCTTGCTTTTATACATTTGAAAGGGACACAGAATTCACCTCCACAGGAAGGCTTGCCTGGGATTTGAACCAAGAGTTTTGCATTGTACTAATAGACCCCCACACCATTTCTGTTCCAGGTAGGCTGTTCACAGGGTGCCAAGGTAACCTCCATAGTGGCACAAGCTTTGCACCATAGAAAAGACACCCCAAGAGCTAAACTCTGTTCTTACCTATGTTGGTGCAAATCAGGCCTGTCCAGGCAAATTGGGCTATATCCAGCCCACAGGCTTCTGCCAAGGCACCACTTGCCCCATCGCTTCTGCTGCTACAGCAGCCAGGGTCTCTGGGGCACAGCAGCAAGTGGGGGTGGGGGCTGTGAACCCACTGCCTGTGCAGCAGGGGCACTCAAATGACCCATGCAATGGTGAGAAGGAGGCTTACACTGTTCATGTGGTGCAGTGAGGGGGAGCTTTCACTGCCTACATGCCACCCACATGGTGGGAGAGGTAACTCTTGCTGCCTACATAGTCGGGGGGGGGTTCACCGCCTGTGTGGTTGGGGTTCCAGGAAACCTGTGCAGTGTGCAGTCTTGGAGCTGTACGTGGTGCAGTATGGAGCATCAGGGGTACCAGGAATTTCAGAATTCATTTTGATCCTCTGGTTGTAGAGGTCAGATCCATCTTGCCTCCTTTGGCAGCTCTCAAGGCACAGCACACAATTTAATCCCTAGAGACAGAGCTCAGAGTATCAGCTATAAGGGTGCATCTCAGAGGAGGGCCATCACGTCTTTACAGGGATCTGCATCAAGCTGACTGGCATTTGCACTTCTCATGTCAGTTATTGAAGAAATAGACTGAGCTAAAGTCAGAGCTGTAGCCAGATCAGCCGGTAACTTTCCTTCCTAAGAATCCTGGGCCAAGTTCTGGCATGGTGTTAGCTGATGGGGATGGGAATTTTAATTAAGAATGTACCTAGTGAACAAGGTCCAAATTCAAGTAAAGTGCAAGAGCCCGTAGCTCTCTCTCTCTAGCCCCAGTGCTCCTTTTGCCTTTTCCTTGTTGAATGTGCAAACTAGGATGTCCTATGAAGCCATGCCTACCTCCTCTCTTTCCTTTCCGTGTTCAGTGACCTCCTGTGGCTGAAACCAGGGGCAGAGTCTTACTGTGACCTTCAGCTAGGACAGGCCCTTCCAAGGAGCCAGAAAGGAAGTTTTGCTCCCTAATGGATTCAATTAATTGTAACAAGTAACAATACCCATATCCCACTTCTTGACCCCATAAACTGCTACCCATGTTCGTTATTGATGATATTCTAACCAGCCCAGAAATATTACTTACCATCTGAATTAGACCAAAGCTAAAAGCTGGTGTAATGAAGGTAGCACGGTATCATTTGGCATTTTCACTGGTCTACTGCTTGTAGGCTCAGGTGATGTAGGTGTTGATATTCCTTCATTGCTGCTTTTTACCTCACTTCTCTTCGGGCGCATCTACACGTGTGCTTTAATGCTCAGCAGTCTATTTTACTGTGCATTAGAACATCATGGCAAAAACTGTGCTAATATGCTAATGCACAGTAAAATTAGGCTACTGCACATTAAGTGTCACTAAAAAAATGTGCACTTTTGCTACTGTCCATTAGGGCAGCCAAATGTGCATTTAGTAAATACCTCATATTAGAGGTACTATATTTAATGTGATGTAGCAAAACTGAACGTATAGATGCGCCCTTTATTACTTTGATCTCTGCGTCTATGGCAGCAATGATTGGCTTACTGCCAGAGATACAGCTCTGGTGACCCACAGGCTAACCTGTTAGTGTGGAAGACATTCCACAAAGGAACCCTTGTGCTCCAGCCAGCTGCATCAGCTTCTACATTTGCACTGCCACATATGAAAAAACTTCAGCAGGATAGTACTTGTATTTACAAGTGCTACCCTGCTGCAGAGCTTATTAGTCTCCTGCAACCTAATGTGTACATGCTGTGATGTTTACTGTGGAGCTAATTAAGCAACTCCATAGTAAATATCTTGTGTAGAGATGCGTGCTAAGACCCTGTGAGGGAGTGTTTCCTAGAGAGTAGGGACCCGACACTCATTTTCTATCCCAGCTCTGGGAAGAAATGTGGTTAGAGTGAGAATAGAAGCCAGGATTTTCTGACAATGATTCAGCGTGCAAACTTGAGAACTTTTCTGCAAAATGGAGATGATAATAGTGACCTGTGCCTCTGGAAGGCTGCATGGCTTGCCAAATGCCAGGACTCTGATCTAAAAGATGCTGTGGAACTGCTGAGTTCAGCAAACCACTGAAAGCCTCAGTCCTCAGAAAAGATTTGATCTCTGGTAGATACTCATCTGGCCCTATCACCACAGTATCTGAGCTCCCTGCACATAGGAATGCTTTATCCTCACCAATGCAATGTTTCAGACATGTGGAACTGAGGCACAGAGCAAGAAAGCAACTCACCCAAGACCAAAGGCCAAGTCTTCGGCAGAGCAGGGAACTAAACCAGTATCACTCAAGTCTCAGGCCAATGTCCGCTGCCCGCCATCCTTCCTTTCCTGGGAAGGAAGCCCAGCTCTAAGCTTTTATCAGTACAGCCCCTTTGAGGACATCCATCTCTCAAAATATTATCCATCAGGAGAATATTTATCACACAAGGAAACAAAGGTGAGCAGAAACCACCCCAGCTAGGCCTTCAAGCCTGGTACCCTACAGGTGGAGCTCTGCCTTCCCAAAGGCATCCTCCTCCCCTTGTAGCCTGTCCCCAAACACTTGTGGCAGAAATGTGAGAGTTGCACTGAAGCCAGTCAGGTGCACACTGCACACAGCCACATCCATTATTCCTGTTCTTGGCAGAATAAGCCTTAAAAATCAGCACCTTCTCTGAGTGCCCAAAGTTTCTCTCATACCTA